AAAAGTGGATGAAAAATTAATTATTTGTGTTGAGATGTATTTTATTTGTCTATATATCTTATGTATACATTAATTTTATATACAAATACAATGGTAAAATATGTATATATATATATATATATATATATATATATATATTAAAAAAATTTAAAAATAAAAAATAAAAAATTTAAATTAAAAAAAAAAAATTTCCCTCTTAACCAGGAATGAAAATTTTCGATTCAACGCGATAACACGACTCGAACTCGACATAAATTTATGACACGAGCGTGATTATAAAAGGCTAATATTCAGTTCAAACAGTCAAACTCAAAATTGATATCATCAATCCGTTTACTTAAAAATAAACATTTTCTCTATTTTCTTGTTTGTATGGTAATACAAAATTAATACGAAACTAACATGTTTAACTAGTATTATAGACATAAAATGTTAATTATTTGTAACTATTTATTAAGCACTGACATAATTATTATATAAAAAATATATTTTTAATTATTATTATTATATTTATTTAAGTTAATTTTTAGTTTGTAAAAAAAATATTAAAATAGATTTAATTAAGTAAAAATAAAATATTATCGCTAATTGTTTTATTCAAAGTTTATCTAGATCAATACAAATATGAACACGAACACAAAATGAAAATAAACATGTCAACTCAAAACTCGATATGACACAATTAGTTAAATGAGTTGAGTTATGTTTGACTAATGTTCGATACAAATTTGTAATGACTCAACATAAATCTGACACGATACGATTCGATTGTTACCCCTAATTTTAGCCAATAATAAATATATTTGTATTTATAACCTAAAATCAAATCACAAACATACAGGAGAGATAAATGAATTTAAGTACCCGGTTATACTAAGAGTGGGCATTGGTAATGGTTGTGGACGAAAACGGTGATAGTTGTGGTGGGCGGCGATAACCATTGTGGTGATGGCAACTGTGGGTAACGGCTGTGGTAGTGGACGACGGTGATGGTGATTGGCAGTGGTGGTGGTGAT